ATTCACAGAATAAAGAAACTGAAGAAAGTAAAGAAAATGACCCAAAGCAGCAGTTAACTGACAAGGATAATAACGCTGCACAGGAAGTTAGGACCACAAATTCCAGCTTTTCTTCCTCATCAAATGCAGGGAAAAAGCCCAGTGAGAGCAATATTAATGTAGGCACTGCTGAAGGTACCACTGCTAATACCTCTAAATCATCACCATTTATTAATCTTAAGAGAGACCCACGACAGGCAGCTGGACGGAGCCAGCAGACCAATGCTTCTGAAAACAAGGAAGGAGAAGTTAGCAGAAATGAAGACAGACAGAATGCTTCAGGAAGTGATCAAACAGAACCAGAGAATAAGCAGTCTTCTGGAGAAGTCAGTGTAAACCTGTATCAAAGCGATGCACAAACCGGTGAGACACAGTACAGTTCAACTGCAGCAAAAGCAGATAACACAGTTGCATCACAAGCGGAAGATACCAAACACTTACAGGAGGATGCAGTGATGCAAAACATTGAAACGCTGAACTCATTTAGAAGAGTACCAACAGCAACTTCATCTCATTTTGAAACCGAAAACTCTTCTCGGTCTGAATTTATTTCCAATGTTCCAAGCTCTATTGCAAGTGCTAGCTTCTCGTCTGTCAGACCTCCACAGCAGAATTTTCAGCATCCTAAATCTAATCCACCTGGATTTCAGTTTCAGGCTCCTGCACCTAATAACTTCCCTCCACAAAATAACCCTATGTTTGGATTTCCTCCTCATTTACCACATCCGCTTCTTCCTCCTCCTGGCTTTGGCTTTCCTCAAAATCCTATGATGCCATGGCCAGTAGCTCATTTATCAGGTCAGCCACCACACTATGCCGGACCCATTGCACAAGGGCTACCAGTGGCTCACAAACAATCACGATTTATGGGGCCAGAAAATTTTTTTCAGAGTAAAGACAATAGGAGACCAGAAAGACGCCACAGTGACCCTTGGGGCAGACAGGAACAGCATCTGGAGAGAGGGTTCAATAGAAGCAAAAATGATCAACATAGACAAAGATTTTACAGTGATTCCCATCACCAAAAGAAAGACAGGCATGAAAAAGAGTGGAACAATGAAAAATACTGGGAGCAAGATTCTGAAAGAAATAGACGCAGGGACAGAAACCAGGAAAAAGAGAGAGATAGGAAGAGTAGGGAGGAAGGCCAGAGAGACAAAGAAAGATTGCGATCTCCACATAGTGATAGGGCTGCTGATGGAAAAAGCCCCAGAGAGACTAGAAATCCAGAAAAAAAGGCAGAGAAGCCTAAAAGTGAAGAACAGCCTCATGAAAAAGATAAGGAGAGGGAGAAAAGCAAAGAGAAGCATAGAGAACGAGACAGTGAAAAGAACAGAGAGAGACATAGGGACCACAGTGACAGAAGTAAAAGCAAAAGGTAAAAAGATGCAGGCAGTCTTTTAGAATTTTATTTAAATAAACTGTTAAGAGTAATGTCGTAAAACTTTGTATAAAACAAAAGAAAAAGCCTGCTAGGATTGTGCCATCTTTTTTATTCTGTGTTGGTGTTTTGCAGAAACAAGTCTGTGTTTTGGTACCACTTGGTGTACCAATACTCATCCTTTTTTTCATTATACCAACTATCGCTAGAAGTAGGAGTTTAATATTTTTAAAAATTTTACATTGCTGTATATTCAAAATTTTAAAGATTTATTAATATGCAATAAAGGCTTAGAAGTTTTCTTAGCTGATGAAGTTGGCTTTAGTCAAGTCTGCAATATAGTTGCTGCCTTTGGTAATTTGTGCTCTCTTCTGTTTTAAGATGCTTGGATAATTTTAAAGGTGAATTTCATACAATAACCTTTTTAAATTGCACTGTTTTTAAAGACTGTAGCAGAGCCTCAGAATCCACACACATTACAACAAAATTGAACATGCTTGGTGGTGTAAAGAGTTTTTTGAATTATTTGGTAGTACAATAAAACAATTCAAGTGTGTTTCATTCGTTTTTCAAGTATTTCCTAAGCATCTGAAGCAGTTTGTGACCAGAAATTGGAAGGCTGAGCTGCTCAAATGTTATTGCTTTCAATGGCACTCATTTTAATAAGAAAGCATTTTTAACCTGAATTCTTAAAAATATGATTTGTAGTAGTAAATTCATTTCTCCCAGTATTTCCCATGCTTCAAAAACTTGAATACTTAAGCTTGTACATTACTTTGTGTTTTGCTATCCTTTTTACTGTAAAATGTAAATATTTTAAGGGATATTTTGATTCTAAAATGATAAAACTTTCTCACATGCTGTGTGTGTTTGATTTCATAGGTGTGAAACTGTAGGCTAAATGAATACAGGAGGCTGAGTTACAGAATGCCAGATTTGTTGTATGCTTCATGGCTTGGTCATTTCAAATTTTGGGGGGCAAAGGGAGGGAGGAGAAGGGCATTGGGACTTATAGTAAATTGATATTTTGCAGTGACTGCTATCCACTGATGCAAGCCAGAAAGCCAGAAAAGGTGCAAACCTGAAGACAAACTAAGATGTCCTGCTCTTACACTTCTTAAAATACACTGGTCATTTTGTTGAGTCTGTCAGAAACAACAGAAATATTCCACCATATAAAGGAAAACTTATTTGTTGTTCTGGTTTTCAGTGTTTTGGTTTTTATTTTACTTTGAGTACATCACTTTATGTACTGATGTAGCATTTGCACTTTGCTGCAGAAACACCTCTTCTTTCCAGAAAGGTCTTTCTAGTTTAACAGCATACTAATTGTTAGTTTTAATTATGAATACATTTTAAGGTAAAATTCCATTTGGATACCTTGCAGGTAGCTTCATTGTCAAACTGACTAAAATGAAAAATCTTGCATGGAATAGAGGGGTGGTAGAGTGTTATTAGGTAATGCTTCTAATAGTTGAGAAGATGCATAAAGAAACATTCTCAGTTTTTGGAAACTAGAAACAATATTACACTTTTATAGCTTAATAACATGATGTGATTAAATTAGTCTTTTCCAAATGTATTCCATGGTCTATATGGCAGTAGTGCCATTGAATATATCTGGCAGTATTATGCATGTGTTCTTTAAATATTTACATCACAGTTTTTTAGGCGTAGAAGTGCATCAAAGCATTGTTTTGGTTTTTAGAAGAAGTTTTAAAATCAGTAGCTCTGTTTGTAAAGGTTTTCTTTTAACCTCTTCCAAAGTAGTCTATTTCTCGTCCACTGGTGATCCATTTCTCATATTCACATTCATTTGCGCTTCAAAACTAAACTGGGAGCAGTGAAAATTGCAACTGTCTGTACAGAAGGGATGGGAATGCTTTCTAACAGAACTACCAGAAATAGTTTATTTGGAAAGACTATGTAAACATTTTCCAGGTTTGCCAAGTGCTTTGCTACCTGCCTTGTGTGTGTAGAATCCAAAAAGAGTCACAGTAAATCAGCTTTTGAGGGAGAGTTTTGTTAAGATTTTAAATTAACAAGCAGCAACAGTTTCCAGGATTTGGTCCTAGAATGGGAATAAATCCTGTAAGTACAGGAATAAAGGATTTTGTCTTCAGTCACTCTCCTTCCAACACTCGTATTAGAGGTGCTCCGATTACTAGTTTTACACTGAAACACTGCTCAGACCACAGAAAATAGAGTGTGCTGATGAGGAACTGGCAGTACACCAGGAGCCCCAGAGAGAACAAGATAAGCCCTGAATACATTCCCTTGGCATCAAGTGGCCATAAAAGGCCCTTCTAAGTGAAAGAGGGGAAGAATCTGAGGGCACCTCAGATGCCAAGTGGGCTTCATGAGCTGCCTGCTGGGGAATGGGGAAGAAGGTCTTTTGCATCAGGCTGGTCACTTTAGGGCTCAGAGCAGCTGAAGATGATATAATGAGCCTCACAAAGCTGTTGGCAGGTGCTTATTAAAACATCTGGGGCTAGTTCCATCACCCCACCTGCCCTCCATTAGTTATTTTCAACTCATCCATCACTGACTTGGCAGTGCATTCATAGCTACATACTGATTATGTGGAAACAAATGTGTGTCACCTAGTTTTACTGTGCTTGTTGTCTTTGCTCCATATCTGCTTTATGGAAAGACAGAAAACAAATTAGGAATAGTTACTTGCTGTTGATGGGTACCCACTGAAGGCTTGTATTCAGAAAATTACCATGCAAGGAGGTGATGATTGATTGTGTGCTTTTGAGCAATAGTGAAGTAAAAAAGGAAAAGATAGGAATCAATTGCTATTATTTTTATTTAATAATTTTACTTAGATAATAAGCCAGTGGTCAAATGATAAATGTAGATACCATTATAAGTCCCTCATTAAGCACATTAAAATAGAACTTGACTTGTTTTTTTTTTTATTGCTCACTTAAGTATAATTGAGTTTTTTTCAGAAGCGAATAGAATTTTTGCATTTACATATGAAGAGCTCTATTTACTTTTGAGATTGTAAATTCATGAAGAATATAGTCATGGAAATTCAATTTACTGTGGCCCAAACCTTTGCCTATTAAAATCTCAAAATTTCCTTTAGGAACACATAAGCCAGACACCTAAAGCAAAGCAGTTCTTAGACTTTGTGGTTTTCAAGCTGTTGGGAGTAGAAGTTAGTTGTAGGCAGACAGCCAGGTTCCCACATTCCAGTTGTGAATGGTTAAACCAAAAAGTTTTCCTGTAGTCAAATAAGGGAGATCTCTGCTGTGCAAAACCATCAGGTATGTTTTATTGTCGTCAGTAATTAAGTGAAATACATTTTCTGCTCTTAAGATCATTCTTCAAATGGAGTATTTTAGTATGATAACAGGCTAAAGTTCTGTCCTTTTACATAAATACATACCCAATGGACAGAAACTCAGCTTGGAGGGAGAACAACTTTGTTGTCTAGAATAATCGTTGGGGAGTTAAGAAGTAATTACAGATACTGTGATTAAAAAGAAAATATCTCATTACAATAAATACGAGCTTTTTACCCCATGTACACCTTTTCTTCCCATCTTCGCTCCCGTCCCCTCCCAGTTTTACACTTGCCCTTAATGTTAAAATGTCGTAAGGGAAACTCTTCATTCTAATGGAATTTAAGAGTTTTGGAGGAACAGGTAAGTTGTCTGCTCATAAAGCAACAACCAGTTAATACTGGAGTAATGGTTGGCTTTATAAGCTAATTACTACCTGTTTGTCTACACACCTATTTCCAGAACAATACAGAAAAAAAACTCAGACTTTCCAGTTATTTTAAAGTAAATACTAAGGACTATGTAGAAGTAATTTTCTGAGTAAAACGTCTGATGACATTTTAGGCAAACTATTAATACTCAACATTAAAAAAAATAATTAGGGATAATTATTAAGTGCTTTCATATGTTGGTTCCTGAGTCTTACACTGACTGCTACTACAAGAAACAGGAGGAAAAGAAAATTTATCACTTTCAAAGACTTACACAGTTTTTCAGTTAATTTCTGTAATTTCCATTGTAAACATTATACCCTTCTGCTTTCATGAGCTGAATCTTCTTGGAGTCTTGGAAGAGCACAACATCTTTAATTTTACCAATGAATTCCTTGTGAAAAAGCCCTGCAGTGACTGTATTGACTTCCCTGCCAATTTCAAACCCACCAAAATAACAAATACCACCATAGTTTAAAGCAGTGTATTTTCTGTGTGGATCAATATCTTCAAAAAGAATTGGCTCCTCATCAAGGTAGACCTTAATGCAAGTTTGGTTTTGAACTACAGTAATGAAATGCCACCTTTCGTCACAACAAGAGGAGTAATTAGTATGAATTAGAGGAACAGAGATTCTTTCTCCAAGATTAATCACAACTTTTAGTGTTCCATTGGCAAGACCAATGGCAAGGAAATCATTATCTTCATCTTCACCTTTCCCCATCCATACTATTAAGCCTTCGGATTGATTGGTAGTAAAATTTAAAGAAATGCGGCTATGCTGGAGGTCTCTTTTTCCATAATAAGGGTCTGTGTATTTGATGTAGGAGTTGCCGACAAACTTTGCTATAAAAAAATGGATTTTGCTATCACAGTATTTACCTGACCAGCCTAGTGCGCACATGCAGGAATATGAAAGCAAAGTAGGTTGAGGAATACAGAGCGCCTGAGACCCACACCTGTGTTGTGAACAGTGAATAGATTGTTCACATGTGCTCCCTGTCCACTCCTGTGGGCAAGAACAAGAAAAGCCTGAGTTTTCAGCTTTACATGTTCCATTATTTTTGCACACCGTGTACCCGCAAACTGTTCCATCACAGTCACCAACATTGGCTCCACCTGTGGGGTCAGTCACAGTAAGCTTCAGTTCCCTGTTGTTGATAACAACTTCTCGTATACAACCGGTGAAACCTGTGGGTTCATTTTCTACTGCCATTGAATTAACAAGGTTTAAGGAGGACACCCCTCCAACAAAAAAGTCTGTCTGCGTGTCTAGTGCATTCATTCCAGGACTAGATTTATGAGTAATGTTCACACCATCCAGGTCCAGGTAGCCTTCATTGCCTACTCTTCCTGCTTTGAGTGAATGCCATATGCTTCCATTTGTACGGACTTGCTGAAAGGTCTGTAGGATGACTGTCTTGTCTCCGAGATTGTAGCGTAACTGTATAAATCCATTTACTAATGATATACATAAGAAGTCACCTGTAACAAGCAGGATAAGATAGTTTTAATTTTTAGAGATGGCACACTAAACAACAGCAAATTCCTAATCCTGATGTTTTCATACCTGTGCTTCAAATCAGTAATTAATTTTCAGCAATCTTGTATCATCATTGTATCTAAATAACACAAAGGGGAACATTCCCTGATGAGCTGCTTGTGTCCCTTTATTTTTTTCATTATTGGAAACTGACCTCGTGTTTGCTTCAAAGTAAGAAGCCTGACCTTCTGAGAAGCTTTCCTTGTTCAGAGACTTAGGTAACTGTGAGCTAGGAGGGAATGTGATCATGTTGGCATCCAGGGAGTGCGAGGTGGTGTTCCTATGAAAAGAAGTTTTGGCAAAACTACAAATGCCAGAATATTCTTAATTTCTGTATGCTGAATAAAGGTTGATAGGTTTGTCACTTTAATGCACTGAAGGTTGTTTTTTATCAAATGTACTCTGCTTTCCCTGCAGCTGCTTTTTGCAGCAGGAATTTTTGGGTTTAATAATCTGGCAGCTGTAGAAACAGGTAAACCTTTTATTGAACTGGAGGACTCTATGACAAGAAGTATTAGGAGGGAGTTATCTTTTCTTGTACTCTTGGTGTACCTGGCCTTACAGGCAATGTAGAAGAAGAATACCACTCTGAAGTATACCTACAACATGAAGAAAAGCTGGGAATGGTTAGGAAACAGGAGCTGATACGAAAATACGGGCAGAGACAGAGTCTAATAGGAGAAGGTGACAAGGGGGAAAGAAGAGGACAGCAGAAGAGTCTGCAAATGGAAGTCACATTCACAAACTTACTGATATTTGCCTGTGCAATTTAACTTTTTCTTATATTGCTTTTGGAAATAGTAGCCATCAGGGTTTAGGGTTTTTTGGTTTGTTTGGTTTTTTTTTGAAGTCCATCAGTTAAATTAATAAATAATGTTTGTTAAATTTTAATGTAAACCTTTGTTCCTAATAGCTACTAGTAAAACTTAAGTTTCATGTAGTATTTTTCTAATGAAGAAATACTTTTAAATTTGGAAAGTACAATTTCCTTAAAGATTCAGCATTCTTAAGAGTGGACCTGTTAATGGAATGATGAAGTTTGTTTTCTTGAGGGTTTAATTTTTGAGTATTTCTAATTTTCTAAGTTACACTGCCTTTAGTGAAGTTAAAAATGAATGGCTTAATTTACTGGAGGCTTGCGAAAGTTACTAAAATTGTATTTCTGTTTGCAGTAATTGCTCATCTTCCCATTCAGGCAGATGTTTCAATTAAGATGTTTCAATATGTTAGTGGCTGTAGAGCGCATGCATAGTGCCTTGCCTTCCCAGCCCCAGACACCCACGGGAAGAATGAGAAGGCTCTTCCTCCTTTCAGCTCCATTCCAACGATAGCAGGCACTTCCATGTAGCTAGTTAGTTCCAGTTGTGATTATGGGATTTATTTCCCAGTGTTTAGTGTTCTTTTTGAGTACCTTATTTGTTTCTGCCTTTTTTTTTCAGAAAATAATTACCTTCGCTTGTTTCTCTTGCTCAGAGATGTGGCTTTAAGCTTACTTTATTTTTCATCGCATAGTTTGAAAGCACTCATCTTTCTTGTTTGTTTGAGCAGTGTATATAACCTGCTTGTCTATTGCTTTTATCAGGACCTTAATCCTTAGGGTACTTGCAGCCAGTTTGAGTGTCTTACTACAAGAGAAAGTCTGAGTTAGATTACACTGTAGATAGTGTTTACAATCTACAATGTAAAGAGAGGTTTTGGCTGAGCCCTCTGGATTATGGTCTAGCACATATTTGAGGCCTGTCTTCAAACTGGAGTAACTTCCTTTTCTGCTAGTTATGAACAAAAAAATGGCACTTTCCACTTTCAGCTCTCCCTGAGGCTCTCAAGGCACTTTCTTACTTCCTTGGTTAGCCCCTCTTTTCACAGATGACTTGCTATTTTAGTCTTTGGGAAGAACAGCAGAGTTGAGATAAATTTTAATCATGTGGACGTTGATCCTGGGGTTCAGCTCAGTATTTCTTCATGAAATTTATCATGCTGTAGGCACTACGCAGGGGCAACTGGCTGAAAACATTTTGGGACTCTGAAGTGCTGTGTGCTCGGTGTCCATGAAACTGCCTCTCAAAGTGAAGGCAAATTATGGACTTTGTTTCTCTTCACTTTAGCAACCAGTGACATTTTCAACAAGGGGCCTCAGTTGTCCCTGTCTCTGAGGGACAACTTGCACAGCTGCAGCCTGTGCAGGCCTATGCCATCATAAGAATTTCATCCATTATTTTAAACAAACAACATTCTTACTACTGAATTTTCCCTCTGGTCAGTCTCAATATGGGAGGCCATGAACACTGTTCCAGTTTTATCTTTACTCAAACGTGTCCTGTACAACCGTAACTGGAACCAAAGACCTTTCTGAGGAGGTTTGCTTCAGAAAGAGATGACATACTCAAGTTTTTCTGGACTAGATGTTATGGTCCTTACTTTCTAGAAAATACTAGAAAGTACACAGGACACACGACTTTGCAGCTTTTCAGATTAGCATCTCCTCCAATACAGACTATTTATCCCAATCAGTAGTGTCACAAAAAACAAAAGCAGAGGACACTTGAGGTAGGCACTCATTGTTCTTTTCTTGTGCACACAAGTCTTTGCCCAGCCCACGGCAGGGGGGTTGGAACTAGATGACCTTAAGGTCCTTTCCAACCCTAACTATTCTATGATTCTATGGTGTGCAAGGAACTGTAAGGCAATCTTTATCAATAAGGTTGAATCTTCTTTAGATATAGGCTACTGTGGCTTAGCTGAGTCTTGAAACTGCAACATCTCAAGACCCTGGGTGTTGAACAAAATCTTCAATAGTTATAGCATTCAGTTCTGTTCTGATGCTCCTTCCTTCCTCATCTTCCGTGTTTCAGTAAAATAGAAGGGTTTTTATTAGCCCAAATGATTAAAGGTTGTTTCCTTGTCTTCTCAGGCGATAGGCATTTTGTAGCAGGTGTTATCTTAAGGAACTGTTCTGGAGATAAAATAGCACTTTTATTTGCAAATCCTAGTTCAGGGTTTTCACCAAATGACTGAAGGTCAAAGTTGCTCCACCTCAGGACAGATTGTCTCTATTTTGCAGTAGAAGCCAGCACTCCAAAACAGTCCCCAAAGCAAGTCTTAACCCGCTTCTGTATCAGATGTCAGCATTCCCTGAAGCCAAGTCAATTCCATGCCCTCAGCAGTCAAGTTTCTAAAACTGGGAGTTTATGAGAAGTCTCTTGTAAGTGTATCTGACTACTGCTGTGAGATCTGGATTATCTATGATGACATCTGCTTATATGACTTCTTTTGATGAATTCTGAAAATTGCTGATTTGACTTACAATGATTAATTCTGAATGCATCACAAAAAATTTCAGCTTGCTACTATTCTGCACGAGTACATAAGTCTGTAAGCAAGTTAGTTACAGTCACATGGTCAAGTTTTAAATTCCCCAGATGGTGACAATGCCCTTCCGTGTTCAGCATTTATCTAGACATGTCTGTGTGTATGTATATCCCCGTCTTGAGAAGGGATCATGTTTAAGCAATGGCAGGTCACCATGTTTTTATGTTTCCATAGGAAATCCACATCATAATGTGTCAAAATTTTGTACAGTTGGGAACGCATGCTGGAATGCTGCACTCATATTTTGGGATGTCCTATTCATGCCAGAAGTATTACCATGCATAGCAGATGTGATAGTGTTAAATTTACACAATTGTAAAGCTGATCTGATCTTTGCCTCTGCAAAGCAGTTACAGCCTTCACTATCAAATCTGCCTAATGCCATACATTTCCCAGGAGGACTGGATATGATGTCAGAGGATCTTAGGCTGACAGAGCATGACAGTGAGGGTGTCCTGGTATTTTTAACATTACTCTTTCAGGGTCAATTCCCCACAATGATGGAAAGTGTACTCTTGTGCTCCATGTCTATGCATATGAGGCAAAGCCTTTTTTACCTGCCAGAGTACCTGAATTTATTCCCACATTTCACCACAAATTAACAACAAGAAGGATTTCCCACTACTTTGTAAAGCCAAAGAAGCTTCCAAAACATCCTTTTAACTAACTTTGGAAGCAGTGAATGCAGTCTTCTAGTCAGTGGCATCCGCCTTTTTGATGCAGGTGTCATGTCCCCAGCGATACAGACATACAAGTCTCCATAAGGGCTCCCTCTTTGCTCAAAACTCACTGATGAGTTCCTGGACTACTGAAGGTCTAGATTTCTTTATAAAGCTTTGTAAGACAGCTGATGCTTGTTGTTTTTCTCATCCTGTGTTACCAAACAGAAGCCTCTGCGTTATCCTGGAATAGAGGCTTTGGTGCTTCAGCAGCTTCTACATAGTAAGGTGTCTCAAGAGCTGTAGGCAGTGGTTTTCTGGTTACAGAACATCTATAGACTTCGTTCTTTCAGCCATTTCAGAGCCCTGAGGTGGCATCTCTGGAGGTATGTTTGACGGCCTCAGTCTATGACTTCTGTTTCTTTTTCCTTACCTTTGCATCCTCTAGCACAAGGCCAGAACTTGTAAGTAAGCAGTAAGTTTCTTCCACTTGGAGCACCACCCCAGAGCAGAAAGGCATAGCTGGGATCTGGAGCAATCCAGCAGGCAGTGTGATGCTCATGCATCTAGAAGGTGTGGGTGATTATCTATTTGTAGGTTAGACCATTCAGCCTCACCTATCAAAAATGCTGCTTTCCTTGCTGAAGAAAGTTTTTCTGCTTCCTTTAGTCACCACTATCACCCTGGCATATCTCAGCAGCTAGAAGCAACCTTCCTTGAGCAACATCAATGTACCTGTCATAATTTTGATTTGCTTGCCAGTGGCAAATGGGTAGCAACAACACTTCATATGCAATAGATTTCAGGACAATGGCAGTGTCACATCGGTAACCAGCAGTTCTGCTTCTCATGTTGATAATTTCCATAGAAATGATCACAAAACTAGTGACAAAGCAGAAATAATGTCCCTGCTGGCTAAGAAACATGGCTGCCAAGAGAGAAGACTTAACCATGCTGTTCTGAAAGTGGGTGGATAATCAATTTATTTCTGATCAGGAAAACAACACTTATCCCATGCGAGTATTCTAGAAATTTCTAGAGTATTTCCAGAAGATTTCAGTCCAGTTCCATTATTCTGTTTTTGCCATAAACAATGTCAGAAAACTGCAGACATCACACCCCCATACTGGCTGTCTCTGATTTTCATGCTTCAGGGTTTTAAACTGAAATGCCTCAAATATCTGGAGTTGAAGTTCTGCATTTTTTTTTTCAGACCAGCTAGGTAACATAATCATGTTAAAGAGAGACAGAGCATTGCTGTTCCAAATGTTAAGTATTAAATTCAGCATGAGTCATCCCATTCTGTCTATTAACCTGACTTCCTTCTTAGTCACCTGGTATATCTGTTCTCTCTCATCAGGGAGCAAACCTTTCCATCACCCTGGCCTGGACTTTGGAACAGTGCAGACAGTCCGCAGCATCATCCACCTTCATAAACAAATGTAGAGCTTCAGTAATGCTGTGACTCAACAAAAAAGTAATGCTTCTTACTCGTTTTTAGCCAGATTGCCAAGGCCTTCAAATATATAGAATGGTTGCTATGTAAATGGGCTGAATTTTTCATTGTTCAAGCTGTTGATGGGCACCTGGCAAACACTGTCTGAATTAAAAGCTATCACACTTTCATTGGTAGAAATAGGATACACTGCACTTGAAAAAAATGTGAATTGGGCTGGCTTTCACTGACACTGCTGAGCTCCACAAGTAATTCTGTATTATCTGCAGAGGACTCACTGAGAAACAGCACATACAGCTATCTGTATCTCCCACATTTTTACCTCATTGGCATAAACCAGGTAATCAAAGCAAGGGCAAAAAGTCCCATTGTCATTATATCTGCAAGTTTCCAAACTAAAATCTTCATACACAGCTCACTTATTGGGGTTTCTTTCCAGCTTATAACTAGCATAGCCAGCCGTGTTAAGTTTTGCCAAACTTTGGAAATGGTTTTCTCAGGGCCTGCAGAAATCAATAGTACCAGACTTAAATTCATGATACACATTCAGAAACACCTGACAAAGTGAGAAAACCAGCGACTGACCGAATTACAGGAAATTCTATTAACAGATAAAGATTCATAAGATGTTCTCCATTTTATGCCAATTTGCTAGGTGTTCAAATGTGTGTACTGAAGGAATCACATTGTTAGAGGAGTAAGTAGAATAGCCACCTAACCACCCTTTCTAGAAATGCATGTAATGTACTTTGAAAAGAACAGAGCAATAAGGAAATGTTTTAGTGGAAGTCTCATGTTTATTTCTTCACCTACTAAAGATTCTTTTTTGATGAGGGGAGGATTTTTCGGCAGGAGCATACCCCTGAATGGAAGGTCCCAGTTTAGTGTTTACATGGGTGACAAGCCGAGCCAGTGTACATCTGTGTCACCCAGTATCATTGCTAAATTGGCTGTGTAATCAGAGCTCATTTCTTTAAAAAAAACCCAGCATTGCCTAGTGAGGAAAAAAAGGAATTCTAATTACTTCCTATTAAAAGGGAATTTACAAGAAAAAAAAAAAAATCCTGTGATTTTGGCAATCAATTTATTAAGTCTTATATAACTATGTAGGAGAAAAGGCTTTCTCTAAAGTGCTTTCTAAACTAATCCCCAACAGAAAGCTCTTTCACATCTGCTGGCTGCTAAGAATACTTCTGAGTCTTTCATCAGTCTAATTCCATCTGGATTTGACAGGATTATATGAAAGCAAATATAAAGACCCAGACTATTAGCTTTTCCCAAATCTGTCAAAACTTCAGGACAGTGAAAATAGAAGTAGGGGATTTGTAAAGAAATTAAATTACTCTGTAGAAGATGGGTTTTATTTTGAAATGAAATTGTTATGATTCTAGAAAATGATTTAAAGAAAATATTTCTTCCTGTGCAAACTAAACATTCATGAATGGCAACGGAATGAAGGCATGCTCATGCTAAAACACCCCTGGTCCAAGTTAAATGGATTTAGCACTCTCTTTGATGCTTCCTAAGAGATACTGAATTTCTTTATATGCTAGCTGCTTCCCTGACCTCTGACTAGTCTTTTGAGAGAGATCCTTTTTTTCTCTTCTATTTTTCATGGCCCATGTAATGCTTTAGTTTATACAGGAGAGAACTGTTCACTGAGAATCTCAGAATTTGGCCTGTAGAATTATAAAAGATTCATTGTGGAAGACAGAGTTCTTTGCAAATAAATGTATTTGTATTACAGATATGCCATATATTTTTCTTTGAAGCTATTCTCTGCATGTGGTTGAAATTAGAACAAAGGCAAATGGGAGTTGCCAGCAGTGTATGATGTGTTATCAGTCTTACCAAAAAGCAGCCTGTTAAAACGTCTGTGCATAGAATAAGAAGTTGATAACTTGGGCATATGTGTGTTTCTATGCATATATGCTTGAATATGTTTATTGAAATGTGTCAAAGCTTTAAGCTTTGGGCAAAGGAATGTAAAAATACATGTTAAATAGTTAAGTGCTTTTTTTTTTTTTTTTTTTCATTAAAAAGGCCTGGTTCTGTAAAACATACTGCTTGATTTTGCTCTAAGATCATGTTATGGTATGTAACACTTCTGTTTAAAAATGTGGAAGGTACCACATAAATGCAATATAAAGCATGTTAATAAAGTAATTATAACAGATTTGCACCTTAAAGACTACATTTTAAAATGTATTTACACTGGTTGGCAAATAATGTTTTCTTGCCATGAAGTTTTAGGAATCTTAACTCAGTGTTACAAGGAATCACCTGGAAAATACAAGTGGTAGTAGGCACAAGTTACTCCTGGGGTGGTTCTGGCTGGACACAAGATGAATGTTTTTCACAATGAAAACAATCAGCCATTGGAATAATCTCCCCAGGGAAGTGGTGAATGCCCCAACATTGGACTTTTTTAAAATTCATCAGGACAGGGTGCTGGGGCATCTGGTATAGACTTTTTTGCAAAGGAAGGTTGGACCAGATGATCCTCGAGGTGCCTTCCAACCTGGTGTTCTGTGACTTTACGGTTCACCAAAGTTTAAAACACTTATATAAATAGTGGAAATACCTTATTTAGATTTGTTTTTCACCCTGCATAGCTAGCAAACACAAAACTTTTGCATGTTTTTGCATGCTGCCCCAGCAAGATTTTCAACATTATGTAATAAAAAGTTAAACTTGCAGTAAAGCTCATAAATCTCTCACAGTCTGTTCACTTTCACTTAACTTGTTTGATCAGTTTTTTTATTGCTTTATTTCTGGTCATTTTAAAATGCTGGGCCAAACACCCAGACAATGAATCCTAGGATAGCTGCACTGAAACTGTGGGATCAGTATCAGTAGATGTCTGTTGTAAAGCTGGCTAGAGTTACTTTTCAGGGGCAAATGGCTTCCTGAACTAATTCGTTAAATACTTGATGGCTTTGGACTAGTCTGAAATTTTGTTATGTTTTTTCTTGTTATGGTTTGTTACGTTTTTTTCTGACGAACTTGATTATTCACAGTCCAAAACCCAGTCACTGTGGACAGGGAGTCACAGAGACTGAAGGCCTGAATCACTTCAATATACTGCCTTTCTTCAAAATAAAGGTACCTGCATGTATGATACCAGCAAGCTGGAAGATTCTTACCTGACTGAGTACCCAAATGCTGTGCAGTGTAAAACAAGATACCATCTGGAGATAGAGGCTGAAACTGCAGTTTGATATGAGTCTTATGCCGGATATAAAAGGGTGCAAATGACATCCATGATGATTCATTACTTCTGAAAGATGGATCACTAATGGAAATATCTGAAAAATACAAGAGGAAGTGTTTTCTGAAAAGTGGTTTTTGGTTTGGGTTTGTTTTGTTTGTTTGTTTTTTTTTTCATTTTTATGGCACTGGTCGTTTACAGTTATTTTGTATAGTTCATAAATGCTGTACAGAATACTTGAAAATCTTCCCTTTCCAAAGACTAAAAATAACCCAGATACAGAATAAAACAGATAATAGCAAATCGATGCCATTTTGTCTTCTGTGTGCCTTATTTTCATTAACAATCAATCCCATCATTGTAACGCAAAATAAATGTGATCTTGTTAGTGTTCATTCTCAAATAAATGTAAATGCAAATTTTACATTGTTTAGAAATTCAAATGTAAAATACTGTTGCAGGAGTCAGAATAAACATTGATTTCTTCACCATCCAGATGAAAACCTTAGTGAAGGATTTTTAAGGAACTGCTGTGTGTGTAACAGGAATGCACAAGTTAAGTGGAATGTGTTCATTAACTGGTGCTGAAATTCGTTCTTAGGATAATCATGCTGAGATGCTTGATAATTCAAATTGTCCTACCTTATGCTGAAATGGAGCACGATTACAGTGAAGTTACAATGTACACTTTTGAGCTATACACAAATTCATTGTTCTGTCTTACCACTTCTACTCAGTGCTGATTGTTCATATACCCCTAAGAAACTGAGCTGGTTAAACTTCAGCCAACTGATGAATTATTATACTCTTCTATGCTTGAAACTGTTTCCAGTTTTCCCCATTATAACAACATTATATATTAGTTATTAGCTAATTCATTATTGAGTGCTTGCTAATTTGCTGTATTTGTGGGATCATAGGAATAAATCTAGCTATTTAGATGTGGAGGATATATTTAGACTTCTGTGTGATAAGCTTTTTATTACTTAGTTAACAGCAGTGCTAAATTCCTGCACTGTAAGTGCTTCTTCCTTCAGTTTTCAGTTTTCCTGCTGAAGCTATGCTGTTTCTCTTCAGAGAAGCCAACAGCTTTCTTCATTCTTGCTCTTCCAATTTCATAGTTTTATAATGAGTTGCTTGCATTCAAATACACCTTCAAGGTGTCCTCGTAGTGCATTCCTAGGCAACCTTTTGCTGTCTATCTTTCCACACTCAGGTTTTCTGCACTGTGAAAGCACTGGCCATCCGGTTGCACCTTGTATTGCCTATCACAGATGGAACTTACTTATTAGATTGGTATGCAGTCAGCATGCTGCAAGATTTTGTAATTTGTCTACTTGTCACACCACCTCTCTCAGAATAGGATTCATGGTGTTCTTCGTGGACTGCATCCAGCAGACAGATGCACCATTGTATAGGATCCAGATCTCTCACTTGTTATCAGCATATGACTTGAGGATGCCTCTTGAATAGGTACTAACAATACGGATGGCTTTTTTATTGTTCATTTCCACCACTAGATCACAGTTAATACTTCTGAGGAAAATGCGTAGATGTAACATCAAAAATTCTCAGCAAGTCTATAAAAGTAAGTTTTAATCTCTGAATAAATGTAAGGATTTATGAAATGCTTAAATTATCAGAATCAGCCTTTTGGTGAGCTGTAACTCCACGTATGTATACATTCTCATGCAAACATAATACATTAACAAATCACTTCCATCCTAAGCATCATAGTAGCTGTTATGGTACCAAGGCTCGGTAGTGTCTGTAGTAATATATTCCTTCATGTCCAAAATGTGAAGTTCCTGGCCTCTATACTTAAAAGTTGAAAGAAATAACAATAGTTTTAAGAGCAGCAATTACCCTGGAAGATAAATACTAATAAAACTTCCTAGGCATATTAGGTTATGTAACTTGTATCACTAAATTGTTTTCAAAAGACAAAATAATGCTTAATAATTTTCATACGCATTTTTAGGTGCTTTTAATTTTTTCAATGCATAAGAAACAATGTTCTCCATTAATATTTAAATATCTAATGCCTATACTGATGTCTCCTTATTTAAAAATCAATCAGAAATAATAATTCATTTTGTATATAAACATTTTTGCTCTATGCAGCATTTAGAAGTCAGCCTTCTCTTAGAAAATTTTTGCACAGTGGGACTTACATATGGAGTAACTGTGCCACAGTGGTCAATCTTACATTAAAATGCGCTGCTGCTTAAAAGGTTATACCAGGTGAAGTGTACAATGAGGTATCTGGAAGTCCTTGTGTCAGATTCAGTCTCACTTTGCCAGTGTAGTTATTTCTTTACTGCTTGTGAAGAAAGCATGGACAAAGGCTAGTGTGAAAGCAAAATGTTCAGCTGCAGCAGGATTGAAATGCTACATTGCTTATCATTGCAAGGTACATGAAAGAAAGATTGCTACAATAAAAAGCCTTGGAGCAGAGAGAGAACAAGGATGAAAAAAAGGTAATTTTATGGTATCACTCAGAGAATGAATGAAATCCATGGTTTAACATTGCAAACAGAGTAATAAAAAAATAACACCTATATCTTGAGCAGATGTCTGAATGCTTTAGAAAGCAGGTATTAATCTGATTGATACATACCAAATAAAATGCTCTGTTTAATAAAGTTCATTCTGAAACTTCTAAGATGCAAATATTTTATTCCCATTGTGGTAAAAAGGTGTTTTTTTTCCAATAAATATATCCTAACAAATGTCAGAAAGCAACATGTTTTGAAACAACACAGCAGGACTAACTGCAGGAATTACTAGAATGCCTTATAATTTTCTTGTAAATTATCATCTTTAGATCCTGTAAATGCTGATTGTATGCATGGAGGAAGTCTGACTTGACAGGTACATGGAAATGTACACCCATATCTCAGAACAGACTGCTTTAACTCTACTGCAGTGCACAAAGAAGATCAGTATAAGAATCCATTTTTGCAAAATTGCATCTATAGATAGACAAACTTTTAAGGTGAAGAATAAGCCAATTTAAGATTTTCAATTTGTTTTTATGGCAGATAAGTGCAAAACTAACATGTCATGTTAAATGCTGTTGATATCTTGGCAATAAACTTTTGCCGCCCAAAATAAGAAAATAAGCTCAGCTAAACTTCCACAAGATAGTTCCTGTGTTACATATGCTTACTCCAGAGAAACTCTTTGCTTAAATAAATGAAGTGAATGGATATCCCTGCTAATCCTATAAGATGAATTTGTAGGACCTGTGTTGTGTAACTACTGATTACTCACTAGGGTGCTCAGCCCTGTGTGGTGTACTGTAAACACAACAGGCATTTAAGCAAATATTTCTGTTCTGTACCTGATTAATGACCCACTTCTCTAAGCTGAGTAGTAGTATCTGATGAAGTTATACATTTCTAAATGATATCAAGAGAAACTCTAAATCCCTTTAGACCAGTTACAGCTATGGGAACACAAAGTTTCTGCAAGTACTATTGCTGAAGCATGATTTTCTTCCCCTCTGTTATCTGGGTATCTCCTGCTATCCTTGTTTGATCAGCTCTGTAAACACTCACATATCCTATATAACTGTTGTTATGATCAAAGTTTTTTAGGTTACATTCTTGCAGCTCAATTTCCATCACTGAAACAGGTGTGCTTGTACAAATCCCAGTCTACATTTTGATGGCATTACATCACATTACTTTCAGCAAGCCCATTTTGCTGTTCAGCATGTCAAGGAAACTTACAGTGGAAATGTATAAAAGGCAACATGAAAAACTGAGCTGCAAATCCAAATGGAAGCACAGAGGCTGTGGAAGTAGGGATGGGCCACCCAGCAGGAATACAGAGCCAGTGGAACAGAGATGGAGTTAGGAGTCAAAACGCAGCAGGGCTTGAAACTGGCAAAGGATATGAAAGGAAACAAGGGTTTCCAACAAGAAAGAAACCAGAGTTATGACATGGCTGGCAGGACAGAGACCTCTTCAGCAACGGCCTTACCCAGAGTAAGGCAAGCCGGGGGAGCAGTCATGTCAGCTCCAGAGGCCAGATAAGCAGGGAGTTCCACAGTGATGAGGCAGAAGTTACGGTCAAGCCTGCAAATCAGTCTGCGGGTCAGGGTCCAGGTCCAGATCAACACAGCCAAGCAAGGCATGAACGTGATGCTGCTGCAGCGTAGATCAGCAAAGGATAAAGGGCAGGAGCCTCTAAAAGCTGCTCCTGAAACAAGGCAGGAGGAAACTCCTGCTCAGGCTTCTCAGCAAAACTGTCTTCAAGACCAGACTTGCAGTGCAACTTTAGCAGCTCATTAGCAATAAACAGCTGTCTGAAAGCTTCAAACTCCACTGTCAGAAATTATCAATGATTTCATTCATTCATAGAGAGAGAGTGAGCAGCTCTCTCAGTTGCTTTTTTAATTTTGGGAAACAATGACAAATATGGCTGTGTGGAAATCTTAAGATGCAATTTACTTAAGGTTTGTCCTGGGTTCAGCAGTAGCAGTCATGTTTCTCCTTCTTGGTAGCTGGTGCAGTGCAGTGTTTTGACTTTCAGCTTGGGAACAGAGCTGATAGCGATGTTTTGGTTTGGCCAAGGACTTTGTGAGCCTCATGCTCTGCCAGGGAGGAGGGGAAGGCAGGAGGAAGCAGAGACAGGACACCTGACCCAAACTGACCAAAGAGGTATTCCATACCACAGCACGTCATGCCCAGGATGTAACTGGGAGTTAGCCGGAAGGGCTGGGAGACTGTGGGGTTGGAGGAGGTATCGGTCAGTGCTTGGTCGGGCTGGGGGGGGCGAGTTATCGGTCGGCTGGTGCTGAGGTGTTGTATTCTCTTCCCTTGTTATTTCCTTTATCATTATTATCATTGGTGGTAGCAGTAGTGATTTGTGTTATACCTTAGTTACTAAACTGTTCTTATCTCAACCCGTGGGAGTTGCAGTCTTTTCGATTCTCCTCTCCGTCCCTCCGAGAGCAGGGGGAGGGCAAGAAAAGGGGGGGAAGTGAGTGAACGAATTACCTGACTGGGTTTATACCACGACAAGGTTGTAGCTCAAAGATTTCTGATGTTGCACAGACATATTTTTCCTTTTCCTGTGCAAACATTT